GTCCCTGAAAGAAGGTAACAAAATGGAAGCCATAGTTGCTTTATAACTTAAATCTCGGAAGTCATATCCATCATTTCTGCTACACTGAATAACTAGATGTGAATCAGTTAAATCTGGATCATACTCAAGAAGTTGACACAGGGCATTGGACCAGAAGGTGAGGGTTATTAGGATTCTTTTGGAAGATTGCTGTCATAGCAGCTAAGTCTCAAAGTTCTCACCAGTTTTTTACATTATGTTTTATTCTGCGTCTTTATTGTAAGTGAGCCTTAACCATTTTTATTCTACATTTTTTCCCTATCAGTTATGTTTCAGTGTAAAAAATTATATGTTTTTCCCTATTTCTTTGTTTTAGTTTCCCCTTATCTTTATGTAGGGAACAAGATGAAATGCCTTGCCTCATGTTACTTCTTCACTGTTTTTGTTTTTTTTTTTCCTTTTTGATACAGAGTTTCACTATGCAGTTCAGGCTGGCCTTGAACTCATGTAGCCCAGCCTGGTCTCAAATTCACAGCAGTCCTGCCTGAGCCTCTTGAGTCCTGGGGTTCCAGGTGTGCACCAGCATGCCTGGCCAGCTTCATCTTATTTCACTTCCTGTCCTCTGCTCATAACCACTTTGGTTGTATCCGTAGTACCCTCTTCACAGTTTTTAGAGAGAAAGTAGGTTTAGTGAGATAAAGAGTACTGTATCTTTGAATATTATCGTACCATCAGCAATAACTGTTAACAAGGCAGGGTCTCTCAGAACTGGTGTAGATACTATGATCTGAATACTAAATACTAAATACTGTTATGCATCTTTATAAATTAGAAAGTATAGGTCATTAATTTGGTCACATAACAGATCTTGAAACAAATTGCCAGATATTTTATAATAAATTATCTTTTCATAAAAGATTATAAAATGCAAATAAAATTTAATTCTGTTTTTATAATTTTAAAACTATTTAGTATAAATGAATATCTTTTTTAGAAAAAGTTTTTTTCTTTATTTATTGGATACAGGGTCTCACTATGCATCCCAGACTCACAGTGACCTTCCTGTCGCAACCTTCCCAGCACTGGCATTATAGGCACATGCCACCACTCCCAGCCTTGGGGCTGGCATGGTGTGCCTGGGATTCCTGGGCCAGCATGACGTGTGGTACGGGCAATCAAACTCAGGACCTTGCACTTGCCAGGCAGCCATTTAGACTGCTGAGCTATCTCCCCAGCCCCTGGATATCTATTATGCATAGAATTATTGCTTATTTTTGTGATTTTATTAAAAAGTTTAAATTTTGATACAAACTGTGGCAAAAACTATACAGTAATTTCTGTTGTTTGATGATATTACATTGTTTATAATATATATGTGTGTATATATATATTTCTCAAACATCATCACTTAGAATTAACTATTGACATTCATTTTACATTTTTTCCCCCTGAGGAAAAAAATGTACTTAAAATAATCCTCTTAAACCAACATTCTGGGTTTTATTTCAAGAAACTTGATGTAACTGTTGTTACAAGTTTGGTAGGTAGTCTTCTGGCTCACTTTTTATTCTTTTAAACTATATATACTGACATATATAAGATACGGTTTTCTACTTGTATGTTTATATGATACTATATACTGCTATTTTTTTTCATTTTAACTTAATTGCTTTTTAGGTCTTAAATTAGTCTTTAACTTTCATTATTCCCTCATGTTTTATTATCCATTCTCTTACTAGATATCAAGAGTATTTTGAAAAGGGTGTTTTAAACAGTTGTACACTTTGCTGTCCTTTGTGCCCTTGACATTCATTTTCTACTTGCTGGTCAAATTACTGAGCAATGTACGGTCTTGGGAGATGTAAGAAATCCTGTTTACCCTCATCTTCATGATAGATGACGTTAGACTTTCGAGTTTTGTCAGTTTGGCGGCTGGAAAACCAGACTCTTGATTTGCTAATCGTATTTCCTTCATTGCTGGAATGAAGGAGTAGGTTGCTTTTGGACCATTTGGATGTCATCACCTGCGAGGTCCCTTACTCCCCTATCCTTTACCCAGTTGTAGGTCATCTTTATATCTCCTGGATATTAATATTTGCCTGGTGGATACATTGTAGATGAATAACTTCTCCTAGTCTATCGCCTTGCCTATAATTATTTGTGATGTTTGGTGTTTTTTTGTTTTTGTTTTTTGATACTGGATATTGAACTCAGGACCTTGTGCTTACCAGGCAGGCGCTTGTGCTTCTGAGCTATATCTCAGGCTTTGTTGGTGATGTTTTTAAAGTAGAAGTTTTTATATCCCTTTTTCCTGTCCTGAACATTTGGGTGAAGATTTTGCAAAAATAAGGATGCAGGATTAAAGCTAGTATATGAAGACATATAGTATAAGAGTGGCCACTTAAATAACTATCAACTACCATATATGTCTGAGCAAAAATTATGAAGAATCACAGTCTAAATTATTTAGATATATTTAAAAGCTTGTAATTATTGATGTAAAAATTCTCCATAACAATTCAAGTGTTATAATTTTTAATGATAGTGAGTTATATTTTCTGTGAATCAGAATATAAGGCTTCATACTTTTTTGATAAAATACAATGAAATTTATTTACTTATAGTATTAATCTATAGTTGGCATCTGGCAGTTTCCAGTATTTTTCAGATGGAAGTAATGCCTTCTACAATGAGAAGTGTTAAAATCCATTTGTTAAAAAAATATATTTGCAGATAAAAACTTTGTGGAGAAAAAGTGTTGCAGATAAATTTTCAGAAAAGTTTGGGCCAGGGAGATAGTTCAGTAGAATAAGC